TGAGATAACTAAGTAACCGGGGAAGCTGGAAGGCTGAAATTTTAAGGGGATGTTCCCAGCTCACGTATAACTTAAAGATTTTAAATTCCGCTTTAGGTTGCGTGGTTCTTACTCACTTACACACCCATGAAATTTTTTGGGGGGAAAATTGCAAACCCGGAAATCATGAAATACTCAACTGCGAGCAATGAATTTTCGTTTCAGTGCGGCTTACTTTAACTAAAGCTTGACCGCATGCTTCGATACCGTAATTTGCACATATCATGTTGAGATTGGGGAAGGAAAATTACTAACTAGGTAACCGGGGAAGCTGGAAGGCCGAAATTTTAAGGGGATGTTCCCAGCTCACGTATAAATCAAAGATTTTAAATTCAGCTTTAGGTATGCGTGGTTCTCACTCATTTACACACCCATGAAATTTTTTGGCGGGAAAACTGCCAACCCGGAAATCATGAAATACTCAATTGCGAGCAATAAATTTTCGTTTCAGTGCTGACTTACTTTAACTAAAGCTTGACCACATGCTTCGATACCGTAATTCGCGCATATCATGTTGAGACTGGGGAAGGAAAATTGATAACTAGGCAACCGAGGAAGCTGAGAGGCTGAAATTTTAAGGGGATGTTCCCAGCTCACGTATAAATTAAAGATTTTAAATTCCGCTTTAGGTTGCGTGGTTCTTACTCACTTACACACCCATGAAATTTTTTGGCGGGAAAACTGCAAACCCGGAAATCATGAAATACTCAACTGCGAGCAATGAATTTTCGTTTCAGTGCTGACTTACTTTAACTAAAGCTTGAGCACATGCTTCGATACCATAATTAGCGCATATCATTTTGAGATTGGGGGAGGAAAATTGTTAACTAGGCAACCGAGGAAGCTGGAAGGCTGAAATTTTAAGGGGATGTTCCCAGCTCACGTATAAATTAAAGATTTTAAATTCAGCTTTAGGTATGCGTGGTTCTCACTCACTTACAAACCCATGAAACTTTTTGGCGGGGAAATTGCTAACCCAGAAATCATGAAATACTCAACCGCAAGCAATGAATTTTCGTTTCAGCGGTGACTTACTTTAACTAAAGCTTGACCGAATGCTTCGATACCGTAATTTGCGCATATCATGTTGAGATTGGGGAAGGAAAATTACTAACTAGGCAACCGGGGAAGCTGGAAGGCTGAAATTTTAAGGGGATGTTCCCAGCTCACGTGTAACTTAAAGATTTTAAATCCAGCTTTAGGTATGCGTGGTTCTCGCTCACTTACACACCCATGAAATTTTTTGGCGGGGAAATTGCTAACCCGGAAATCATGAAATACTCAACCGCAAGCAATAAATTTTCGTTTTAGTGCTGACTTACTTTAACTAAAGCTTGACCGCATGCTTCGATACCATAATTAGCGCACATCATGTTGAGATTGGGGAAGGAAAATTACTAACTAGGCAACCGAGGAAGCTGGCAGGCTGAAATTTTAAGAGGATGTTCCCAGTTCACGTGTAATTTAAAGATTTTAAATTCACCTTTAAGTATGCGTGGTTCTCGCTCACTTACATACCCATGAAATTTTTTGGCGGGAAAATTGGTAACTCGGAAATCATGAAATACTCAATTGCGGGCAATGAATTCTCGTTTCAGTGCTGACTTACTTTAACTAAAGCTTGACCACATGCTTCGATACCATAATTAGCGCATATCATGTTCAGATCGTTGGAATATAACGTGTTCACATCAAGCACATCCGAATGTTTCATTAAGGCCTATAAAAGAGTGCACAGAAAATGGCGTGTACTTAAAAAACGCGCTTGCATGCCCTCAAACAAACGAAAAAAAAACGATTTTGGTAGTCTTTTTGGTAATTTGGTAATTTTTGGTAATTTTGGTAATATTAGTAATTTTGTAATCTTTTACCCCTTCCCCAAGAAAGATATGAAGCTGGAAATGCTTATTTAACGACCAATATTAAAAAACATCTTCGAATTTACACCTGTAACCAAAAGCAAAATACTTTGATAGCGTCACAAGAGAACAAAGAAAAAAAAAACAAGGGAGAAAAGAGAAAAAAAATTTTTTTGAATTATGTAAAAACCGCAAAAACACCAACGGTCAGCCAAAATGCTCCTCCACTGGATACTTTGATACTTTGCCCAACAAAAACTCACAGCTCCTCTTCTCCTCCGCATCTGGCAGCTTTTCAGTTACTACAGAAAATTCTTAAAATTTCCACTGAATCCACATATAAAACACACAAAATATGACTATTTCCCAACCACCGTCAAAAAATTCGTCCTCCTCCACACCCCAAAACAATCCCTTCACCTGGCTTCTCTAAAGTGAAATATGGCATACTTCGGCAGCAAAAAATGTAAATATTCCAGATTTTCGTAAAACATGGCCGAGCAGGGCACTGTACTGATGATTCCCACCCCATTCCGCACCGACTCTGCCGTCTGTGTTCACAGTTTAGGGATGAAAC